AAAAGAAGATGATTTAAATAAACTAAAATACTAGACACGAAACCACCATTCTGACTTAAGATCTAATTCTTTTTGCATTAGAGATCAAGTTTGAGTTATACAAATGCGTGGGTTGGATATCCAAGACTAAGGTTATTCCTTATTCGTGTCCAATTCTCCATCCTCTGGGGCAAGTGATTACTTTTGGTGAAGGATATTTCAAGTTCACAAATTCAACCTCGGATTTTGCCTTTTTTCCCTCACCTAGTATATAGATAAAACATATAATAACTCGTTTTTTATTTTTTCTTGAAAAGAATAAAGAGTGAAGTTTGTTGTTAGCATAGATAATCTAATGAGTCATGATTCCACCAGCATTTCGCGGGGTTGGCCAACTCATTTCTAATTGATGCATATTCATAGAAAAAATAAAAGATATAACCTTTCTACGCTTTTATTGCGTGTATGCAACATAAATTGAGCCTTTTCCTTTATTTCTTTAGATTAGGTATGGGTTGGGACTTGGGAGTGTCCTTCTAAAGGACTCCAATAAAGAATTCTGTATGTTCGAAAGCAGAAGCATCCAATGCTTTTAAAAAGGAAGTGACATGACCCAAACATTTGGTCTTCAAAATTTAGCTTAACCCGCCTCAACTGCTACAAGAAAAGTTACATTTCTTGACATTTATATGGAACTATAAAATTTAAATTCAGCCTAAAATTTTTTTTTGAGTCATATAACATCAAGGTAGTGTTGCCATTGTCATTGAGTTAAAAAGAAGCGATTACCCAATTATGGTTTCAGTTTCCAGCATTAATTAGTTGATGATTGTTGCAACCAACTTGATAAAGAAACCACTTCAAGTTTGATGTTTCTTAATTTCTAAACCTAACAAGGATAGTTTGGGTTTTCTCTTCTTCTTCTCTTTTTTTTTTTTTTATATTTATATTTATTTTTATTTTTATTGTCAGGGTCAGTATTTATGTAGTTCAAAATAATCTTTCTTGTGACAATTTTGAAGATGTATTTTCATATCGATCTTATATATTTAAGGAAATTAATTTTTTTTAAATATTGATATCAAAACTTAAATTTTAAAGCTAACATATAAAACTATAGTTATTGTTTGGTTTTTAATCTATTTTTTCATTAAAAATTGAGACAAATATTCTCACTTCTCAGCTAGGTACATCATTCGTGATATATACGTACGTAGTAGTTATATTTTTTGTGTTTGAAATCTGAACTTTCCGCATGATGAAACCATCAACCTTAGCTCTAAAATTAAATATTCCAAGCTAATGACCGAATCTGACAATGTAATCCTAATTAATCATGCACAGAGTTTAATATTAGATATCTTAATTATTTTATTTTATAAATTCATTTTGCATAAACTTATACAGTACCTCATACCAAAACAGACGCATTTATATATTGATACTACATATTACGAAAATTAAAGTTTGATATAATTAAGCAAGACGATCAAACGGTCATGCATATAATTAGTTTCAATAAGGTTTAAATAAACAACTGTTAAGTAATGATAACAATCTTTGCTTTGAAAACAAGGGTATGGGTCATTGTTTTTACCTCCACGCCCCAGTGTCTGCATTTGTTGTATGCAAGTGTTAAATTTTTTTTTTTTTTTTTGACAAGGGTAATGGTTAGGAAGTTAATATGAATTAGTTGTTAATAACTGGGGATTCGATCCCTAAACCGGGTGAACATTTCACCCCCTTAAATGAGGTGCGCGGTCATCAGAACACTTTTTGGTGGAATTCACGACGGTGGTAAAATTTGAAATTCTGACCACCACCTCACCCAAGCACTTAAGGCTTGGAGTCGAACCATTGGAACTAAAGCCCCGGTTCTTTGCAGGTGTTAAATTAAAATGGATGAAAGTGATAAGAATTTGGAAACATATGGCTTCTCTGGCTGTCTCCCTTCTTGCGTGCTCGTACACTTTAATTTCATCATCCTCTCCCTCACTTTATTACTTACCTCGCATATCCTTGAAGCCAAGCAATACAAAAAGTAGTACCTCACCTTATAGACCAAATAGTTATAAATCATATTAAATAGTATCTCATTCCCCAGCCTTTGAATTGGGTTTTTGGTTTTTTTTATTATTATTATAAAAAATATGATTAATAAATTAGTATTTATTCAAAAACTAATCGAGAAGTCGACCCTGATAATTATGTGTTGTACTCCGCTTTACTTCTCACAGAAAAAAAAAATGTGATCACTTGGATCACATGCGGAGTGCCTTTGAATTGGGTTTGAACTTTAAATCCCTGTTTTTAAAAAGCTTACAACTTGTTAAGAAAAAAAAAAAAAAAGCAATACAAAAAGCTGCTCCATTGTCTTCACTTCATGGTTCTTTCTCAATAATTTCTTTGCTACCTCTAATCTTGATGTGGCTGATGTAGCACAATAGCGGCAAGCAAGTAGCTCACTCGAAGTCAAAAATGATGAAAACAATCACCAATTGATGATGCCCATGGATACTATTATTTGGACTTCGGAGAGAATCCCATTTGGAAGCTTAATTATTATTATTTTTTTCATGCACTAAACTGTGGGGAATAACACCCAATATTAGTTATTTAT